TAGAAAAAAGAAGTCTGATGAGGAGATGTGGTGATCCCCGAAATAGTAAAAATATTAAAAATACTTCTACGTTTCCCAACTTTACTCATACTGAATTATCAACAATAAGTTCTTTTCAAATCTCTGCAAATGATGTTTCTCGCGATTTCGAACTTGAATTCAAGCTCTAAGGTAGATACTGAAGGATTTTCTCTTTTGTTTTTCAAAAACTGCGCTGACTGCTTAGCTAACCCTATTACACTGCTTTTCCAGAAATGCTTAAAAAGTGGATCTTTCTTGAGCCTTGGAAATTATGTTCAATAGTCCCTATATTCAAATCTGGTGACCGTAATGACATATGTAATTATAGACCAGTTGTTAAGCAGAGCACCATGGCTAAACTATTTGACTTTATACTCCATCAAAGGTTATTTGATCATTTAAGCAGTGCTATTGTGGATTGCCAACACGGATTTCATCCTGGTAGATTAACGTGTATTAATCTAGCTTTAGTAACAATTGAGGTAGTTCAAGCTTTTGAAAATCGCTCTCAGTTTGATGTAATTTACACAGACTTCTCTAAGGCATTCGACAAAGTCAATCACTCATTGTTAGTGCATAAATTACAGGCCTACGGTATCACTGGTACACTTTTAAAGTTTCTAACTTGCTTCTTACGTGGAAGGAAGCTTGGTGTTACAATTGGGTCTACGAAATCAAGTTTGCTTGTTAATGCCTGGTCAGGAATCCCACAAGGGACTCATTGTGGACCTCTCTTGTTCCTTATATTCATTAATGACTTGCCGTATCAATTTAAATTCGCTAAGTGTTTAATGTTCGCTGACGATGTTAAATTATTTCTTAGAGTTCGAGACCTGTCGGATTGTGCTAAACTTCAACGTGATCTTAATAGTTTTGAATAATGGTGCACCATGAATAGCTTGTTTTTAAACGGGAATAAATGTTTTATTGTAACATATACAAGAATTAATAACACCATTCAATTTAGTTACAAATTGAATGACTGTGATTTATTCCGCACCTTTGAGATGAAGGATTTAGGTGTTTACTTTGACTCGAAACTCTCCTTCCCTAAGCACGTTCACTTTATTATTGCCAAATCATTTGCCATGATTGGTTTCATAAGGAGGAACTCTGAGGACTTTAAAGATCCTTTGACTTTGAAGTCACTCTATGTTTCGTTGGTAAGAAGTAGACTTGAATACTGCTCATTCATTTAATCCGTACTACGATACTCATTCAGCAAAAATCGAAAAATAATTGGCAGAATGGCCTTGCATCATATACTGCCAGACGCAAGTTGCTGGGGCTCCAAACTCTTCATGAAAGAAGAATTTGTTCGTCCTTAATTTTTGCATATAATGTCATGAATGAGCACATTAATTGTCCATTGTTAGCCAGTTTATTCAATTTTTATATTCCACCGCGAGATTTGAGGCGAAATAGGTTACTTGTCGACTCAGTTCATAGTTATTAACTAGTTATGCGTTCTATGAACCAATCAGTAGATCAATTCGGCTATGTAACAGATATAATGAAGATCTCGATTTTAGTGCAATGGATAGATTTAAGCTCCAATTATTTTCTATTTTTAATTAATTAATTAGTCTGTAAGAAGCATTTGACTTTGTAGACTGTAAATGGATAAATAAATAAATAAATAAATATACGTATATGTATATATGTATACAATAGATTCCACGCGAAACAAAGTGGTGCGGCCAATGTACGTATGTGAATATGTTTACCACTAGGGTGGTCTTTCTTTTAACTTTAAGTATTTCTTAATTTATTTTTAGTTTTTTTTTTTTAATTAAAATTCAACCAATAGCGTACTTTATTATCCAATTTGAACAAAAGTCTAAAATCGAAGCAAAAGGCTCGCCACCACACAGAATATGAATTTAAGCGCTTTTTTTCAATATTCACTTTAGCTTCGTTTCTTTTTCCTAGAAATTAATTTTCCTCTAACGACAAGGACCCCACGTTGGGGGCCAATTTGTCACCAATTATTTTGTGCACTAGATAATAAAAAACAAGTAAGTAAGTCTAAGTTCGGGCGGAGCCGAACATTAAATACCCGGCGCAAGTATTAAATATATGTTTTTTCACCTTTCCGAAACCTTCCGCTAGATGGTAAGCCGGGGTGTATATTTGTGTGTGTAATTTTGAGTAAATTAGCGTCCTTCAATTTCGAAATATTGAAGTTTC